CAAAGGGATACACATCATGATGTAAGTCTAGTACTTGCTACCCTTTTACTCATTACACAAATTACCCAAAGTTTTCCAAGAATAGAGTGATCAAACAACTATATATAGATAAATCAAGGAGTGCAGTTTTACACCCAAACAAATGGCTGTCATAGGTTTTGACAAGCCACATTTCCAGTTAATGACACTCATTGCAGACCTATGAATCTTAAAGTATACTCATTCTGGGGGCTAGAGAGATGGCACAGCAGTTAAGAGCACTGTTTGAGTCCCAGCACCTACATGGCAGCTAACAACTGTAACTCCAACAGGGGGATCCAATGCCCTCTTCTTACCTCCATGGGCATTGCACGACATGGGTGCACTTATGTGCAGGCAACACACTCATACACATAAAATAAAAATAAAAATAAATAAAATATTTTAAAAAGCATATTCATTCTAATACTAAGCCTTAGAGATGTCAAGACACCACAGTATTCTTCTAAGAGCAGAGGTGTAGAAGCATTCACATCTGGGTTCAAACCCATTCTCCATGGTCTCTTGTATAAGCCTATCAGTCTGAGTTCAATCCCCAGAACCCACATAAAGGTGGAAAGAGAGAATGAACTCCACAAAGTTGTTCTCTGACCTGCACACATAAGCCATGCCATGTGTACCCACACATATACATCATACACACACACACACACACTAAAAATAATAATAAACTTAAAAAATAAATTTTAAAAAGGAGATAATATTTAAGTCATGGGCTTTCTGACAGGTTGAATCAAATTAAGATTATATAATATATAGGCTTATCATTTTAATCACTTTTAACTGTATATTCTGGGGCATTAAAGTACTATATTAGCTGCTTCTCTCATCAATGAGGAAAACAATTTAAGAAAAATCATTACTTTGGCTCATAATTTCAGAGGGTTCAGTCCATCATGGCAGAGGAGAGCACTCCATATCATGGTGATCAGGAAGCACAAAGGGACTTAAAGGAAGAAGCTATAGCAAGATCTATCCCCTAAGGACCTAAGGACACACTCCTAAGGACGCATCCTAAGGATGTACTTCCTTTCAAGCAGGCCCTACTTGCCACCTTTCACAACTTTCTAATAATGACCTCATATGATGAACCACCAGTGTTTGAAGGACTAAAACACTCATCTCAGAGCTCTCATGATCTAATTATCTCTGGAACTGCCATCACAAATACACCCATAGGTGTGCTTCAGTAATCTGCTATGTGCCTCTTAATTTAATTGAGTTAACAAGATTAACCACCACAAATACATTCACATTGTTGACAACTCTTACCAAAGTTATAATTTTAAAGACTAAGTATACAGTAACTGCTCAATGAAAGCCACTGAGCTAAATAACTCTTACTAGCACTATCCTAGTCCATCTCCAATCTGTGTAAGTTATTATTCTCTATGTAGAAGAAACCATGACATATTTATTTCTACTGAATAGCTCCAGTCTGGGAAACATTAGTTTCAAATTTTAAACTATACAGTTTTAACTTAAAAAAATATTTATTATTTTTATTTTATGCGTATGAATATAATGCCTGCACCTGTGTCATGCAAAGCCCACGGAGGTCAGAAGAGGGCACTGGATTACTGGAGTTACAAACAGTTGTTAGCTGCTATGTGGATGCTGGAAATCGAACCCAGGTCCTCTGCCATCTCTCTAGCCCCTAACTTTCAAATTCTCTAAGCAACAACAAAAACAAAAGTATCAGGAGCCAACACATTGGAGCCTATCATGTGGCCACTGATGCTCTAAGAACTCTGCAGGTACTAATGCAATTAGTATTCACACTAACTCTAGAAGAGATATGCTGGATCTGCAATCAAAGTGAGACTGAAAGTGAGACTGAGACTGAGTCTCAGAGGCTGTGCTTTCAACTTCTTCAGCACATGGCTATGATTACTCAGATACTATGTGTCAGAAGCTTTGATATCCATCATTCATGAGCTTTGCTTAGAAACAATGAAGATCATTCCCATTTTGCAGATGAAAAAAACCTCAGAAAAGTTCATCAATTTGTTCAAGGTCAGTAGAAACGTGGGAGAGATCTGGATCCCACTAATGCTATCATTTCCCTGAGGGTCATTCAACTGCAAAATGAAAATAATCCCCCTTACAAGAAGTAAACATATGTACATAAAACATCTAGCATAGATATTTGCACGAACAGCCATCAAAAATGCTATCCCAGCCGGGCATAGTGGTGCATGCCTTTAATCCCAGCACTCGGAAGGCAGAGGCAGGTGGGGATCTCTGTGAGTTCAAGGCCAGCCTGGTCCTCATAGTGAGTTCCAGGACAGCTGGGGCTACAGGGAGACTCTGTCTCAAAAAGACCAAAAAAAAAAAAAAAAATGCCACCCCCATTTCCTCACTTGTTGTACGCCTCCACATCTGACATTCTTTACAAAACCCAGGGATTTTTTTGTTTTTTGGGCCAGCTGGGGCTACAGGGAGACTCTGTCTCAAAAAAACCAAAAAAAAAAAAAAAATGCTATCCCCATTTCCTCACTCTGTGTATGACTCCTAATATGGCATTCTTTACAAACACCAGGGCATTATTTGTTTTTTGTTTTTTGAGACTCACAATGTAGCTCCTGCTGACCTGGAACTAACTATGTAGCCCAGGCTGGCCTAAAAGATTTGGCAATCCTCCTGCCTTACTCTTCCAAGTCCTGAGATTACAGGAGTAAGCCACCACAACGAAGATCCATGTCTGTCTTTCTGTCTCTCTCTCTGTCTCTCTCTGCCCCCCCTGACCCTTTCTTTTCTTTCTCTACATTTCTGCCCCCTCCTCCCTTGTTTCCGACAGGGTCTCACTATGCAGCCCTAGCTAGACTCTAATTCACAGAGATCCATCTGCCTTTGTCTCCCAAGCGCCAGGATCAAAGCTGTGTACCACCATGCCTGGCCATGTCACTATTTCATTCCCTCTTGCCAAGTGATTTAACAGGTAAAATTTAAAAGATGAGATTTTTTTTTTGGTGACTACCAGGTAATACCAAATCGGAAACCTCAGTAAAGTCCAGCTGTCTTATATAATTTTAAGTATAACAAATTTCCTCCCTTTTACCCATATGGCCTTTATCACTTTATCAAAGTTGAAAATAAAATTGGTCCACAAGATTTGTTCTTTATAAAATTATGCATAATGTTCTCCAACACCTTCTGTTCTTTTAGGTAATTGCCAAACAACTGATTTGTTCTAGTTTTGATCAGCTATTACTCAAAAATTAAGTTGACCTTATCTTTTCCAAAGCTATCTTTTTCTGCCTAAAAATATTCTTTTGTCTGTCATCAGATACCTCTATTTACTGTGATATCTCAAAATCAAAGTCTAGTAACTTGGCACTGGGTTATTTTCCCTCACATGTGCATAGAGAGAACATCTAATGCTGCACTCTAAGCATGATTCATGACAATATGGCCACAGCAATCAGGACTTCCTGTCATTGGGCAGCATTTATGTAAGATAAAAATTCTAGGAAGTTGCAAAGCTGTTACATAACTCATCTTTTTTCTTTCTTGGACATCAAAGATGTTATGAAGCACATGCTTTTAGCTTCCAAATATCACTTAAAATACTACGTGTTTGATAGTCATTTGGAAGTGGGTGTTAAAAACTAAAGAACTTTGGTTTTTGTGAAACAGGGTCTCACACTGTAGCCTAGGATGGCCTGGAACACTAGGTAGCCAAGGCTAGCCACAAAGTTCCAGCAATCCTCCTATCTACTCTTCCAAGTAATGAAATTATAGGCATGAACTGCCACAGCTCCCTTCCAAAGGGATTTCTCAAGCAAGTGTTGCCTTCCTAAATGTTACTTCTCTTACAAACTAAAGGTATATAGGAAGGAAGACTGAATAAAAAAATGTTATGTGGGTATGATTCATTTGTAGTTGGAACAGTGAAGGTACACTGCCAATTTTCCACAGTATGAACTCAAAAACATTTTAAAACTTTTATTATTTTTATTTTATGTATATGAGTGTGTTGCCTGCATGCACATAAGTGTACCAAGTGTTTGTGTGCAACACCCACAGAAGCCAGAAGGGGATGTCGGATCCCCTTGAACTGGAGTTACAGACAGTTGTTAGCTGCCACGTGGGTGCTGGGATTCGAACTCAGGTCTTCTGGAAGAAAGGAAATGTTCTTAACCAATTATGAGCAGCTTTTCAAAGTACCTTTTGCTGAGATCTAGTAGCTAATATAAAAATGTAATAACCTGCAAGAGCTGGTAGAATACAACAATGTTTAAGATTTTAAGTGTCATTTGAATTGCTAAGTTTGAAAGCTCTAAGCTTAGATAAGAGATTTGGCTTTATTCATGCCTGTATTCAACATATTTGGCTTTACACATTCTGCTGTTCTTGAGATACCTTTCTGAAAAAAAAGGATGAAGAATTATATTTTTGTTGCTTGATTTCAGCCATCAGTAATCAATATCATGTATCCTACTAACTTATGAGTCTGAGAGAAGATAAATGCAACTATTAAGGATTTCTCAAAGTTTAAAGAATATAGAAATGCAAGATACAGGTATTTTCTAAACTGGTAAGAATGTATGATGAGGTCATTTTGAAGGGTGCTGGTTAAACACATATTATTGACAGAGTAATTTAATGATGAAATTTTCTTCGCCCTTCTGGAAATTTATCAATGAAGATGAAATCTTGTATTATCTATTTTTTTCTACTAGTTTTGCTTCATTTTTATAACTTATGCTTAAATAAATCCAATATAAATTCACTTAAATAAAATGTGAACGTATGGACTACTGTCTCACAAACACTAATTTTTTTCCTATTTTATATCAAAAATACTACAACATTACTTCAAGAAGACTTCAGTTTTAAATAAATTTTATAAAATGAGATTAACTTCTCATCAACATAAACTAAGAAAGTCAAACACATTAATGGTTTCAAACAAAACATCACAGTCATAACCTTGACTTAGACTATCAACAACTTACCTCTTCTCCCTTTAAAACCTCTGTACCGTCAAATTCCCGGGTCTGGTGTGTCTTTACTGACACTTCTCTCTCCAGGTTGGCCAACTTCTCCTTGGCCTCCTGAAGCTCCTCAGCTTTAGCTTCTTTTTTACGAGAAATGATGGATGCCTAATTGAGCATTGAATATGAATATAAAATAAACACATTTAACTTTCTATTATCTGGTGAAATTACCTATTTTTCAGATTTTTATTTATTTGGAGGGGGTTGTTTTTTGTTTTTGACAGAATTTCCCTAGTCCCAACCTGCCTAGAACTCACTATATAGACCAGGCTGGCCTCGATCTCACAGAGATCCACCTGCCTCTGCCTCCCAAGGGTTTTACTTTATTTTTGAAAGAGAAGCCAGAGGCATTGGATCCCCCCAGGAGCTGGTGTTACAGGTAGTTGTGAGCTGCCCAACATGGTTGCTGTGAATTGAACTCAGGTCCTATGGAAGAGCAATATATGTTCTTAACTGCTGAGCTCTATTGTTCAGATTTTTATAAACATAAATTTTCAGAATCAGCTTTGCTTCTCCTAACCAACACTATTTGCTCTACTGTCCATTTTTATCAGTTACTATTTACCATGAGCATAATGAACATTAAGTATCCAACTAAAAGCCCTAAAAATATAGATATAGCAACAAAAAGCCAAAAATACACTAGTAAAAATTTTCAGGTCTTCTCAAGTAACACTCAAAGACTAATGAAAATACCTTCTAGAGAAGAAAAAAGAAGCTAACACCAAGCCTATTGTTTTTCTGCATGGTGGGTTTCCTCTCGTGAGAAGAAAACAAGAATGCCTTATTTGCAGAACTACAACACAGTTCACCTTACTAAATTCCATACCGATATTTTTTTTTAATGAAAGGTTAAAATACTACATTTGATCAATGTTTTTTAAGACCTTTAAAAAAATATTTTTATTGTTTTTATTATTTTATGTGTATGAGTGTATTGCCTGCATGTATGTGAGTGCACCCGTGTCGTGCAATGCTGTGGAGGTCAAAAGAAGGGCTTCAGATTCCCCTGGAATTGGAGTTAAAGGACAGTTCGTAGCCACCATGTGGGTGCTGGGAATCTAACTCAGGTCCTCTGCAAGAGCAGTCAGTGCTCTAACCGATGAGCCATCTCTCCAGCCCCAAGACTTATTTTTATTATGTGTATGTGTGTATATCTGTGTGGGCATATGCCATGTGTGTGGGGGGGGTGTCCACAGAGGCCAGAAGAGGGTGTCTGATCTTTCGGAGCTAGAGTTTCAGGTGGTTGTGAGCTGCCCAGTGTAGAGGCTGGGGACCTCTTCAGGAGCAGCAATCACTCTTAATCACAGAGCAATTTCTCTAGCCCCCATTTGGTACATTTTAGTAAGATTCAGGCTAAAAATCAAACATCAGATTAATCAGAATTATGTAAATGTTTATATAATCCAAATGACTGCTCTTGAAGGCAAATGCAACATTTTATATTAGTTAGAAACTCTTGGGGAAGGAATTTTCTTAGGTGCATCATACTATATATGTTCATGAGAAATGTCATCCAAGTTGTTTTACTAATAAGTAAACTACAAATACTGCATGAAAACTAATTTGACGGGAGAGGGGTAATCTTAAGTACAAACCCTTTAAAAATTCCATTTTCCTTTTTACTTAAAAAAATGAAAAGACGAGATAAAGGGATGTTTCCTTATATACAAATATTCCACTTTAAAAGGCAAAGGAGTGCCCAAGACTGGGGAAATAGAGGCAGGCTACAGGGAGACCCTACTTCAAAATAACAAAATAGGGGGCTGGAGAGATGGCTCAGCGGTTAAGAACACTGGTTGTTCTTGCAGAAGACCCAGGTTTGAATCCCAGCACCCACATGGCAGCTGACAACTGTCCGTAACTCCAGTTCCAGGGAATCTGACAGCCTCTTCTGTCCTCCAGAGCATAGCACGACACAAGTGCACTTACCTACACACAGGCAATACATGCATACACATAAAAATCAGAAGTGGGCATGTTGGCATTTATGTTTAATCCCAGCATTTAGGAGGTAGGGGCAGGTGAAACTCTGTGAGAGTGAGGCCAGCTTGGTCTACATAGAGTGTTCCAGGACAGCTGGGGCTACAGGAAGACAGTATCTCAAAAAGACAAAAAAAAAAAAAAATTAAAAATAATATTTTTTTAAAAAATAAAAATAATACTAATAAAAATAAAAAAGATAAAGGAATAAAAGTACTAGAATTTAAGAATTAATGGTATACATAAATACAAACTGCAGCCCAAATCTACGATCTTACTTAATAAAGAAACAAGAAGTATTTCCCACAAGAAAAAAAATGCATAGTGTCAGAGCTGGGTGTGGTGGCGCAGGCCTGTAGTCCCAGCACTTGGGAGGCAGAGGCAGGCAGATCTCTGTGAGTTCAAGGCCAGCCTGGTCTACATAGTAAGTTCCAGGCCAGCTGGGGCTACAGCGAGACCCTGCTTCAAAAAGACCGAAAAAAAAAAAAAAAAGCATAGTGTCTCTACTGTAATCCAATATTCTGTTGAAGCTATTACTATCAATAGACCAAAGAAAGGAATTAGAAGCATAAGAGTTTGAAAGGAAAATTGGAATCTTTATACCATATAATTATATTTTTAAAAAAAAAAATCAGTGGAAGACACATTACAGGAGCTGCACCCATAAAATCTCAACATATGGCCAGGCCTGGTGGTGCACACCTTTAATCCCAGCACTCAGGAGGCAGAGGCAGGCAGATCTTTGTGAGTTCAAGGCCAGCCTGGTCTACATAGTGAGTTCCAGGCCAGGTAGGGCTAGAGAGAGACCCTGTCTCAAAGACGAAAGAAGAAAAGAAAAGAAAAGAAAAGAAAAGAAAAGAAAAGGAAGGAAAGAAAGAAAAAAGAAAAAGAAATTTCAACATATGGCTGCCTACACAGACCTGCATAATGACAACACCAGCTGACACACCAGTGTAGACTGGGAAATTTCACAAGGTCACACCTCTAAATGAAGAGTTGCAGGCAATCAATGGCTGCTGTGAGAGGGAGAATCAGTTTTCTCCAGGGACAGGTTATCTAATCCCAAGTGCTCAGCCCTAAACACACGTATACAGCAGCAACACTAAATGATGGACTTGGTAGGTTATTTATATATGCACACACACACATCTGTATATGTAATAATAATAATTAAAGAAGAGGTCAGGAAATTAAGAGGAGTTGGATGGGGGAGAGAGAGGAGTGGAAACGACGTAAAAACAGTACCCAAGTACAACATTCTCAGAAAAATTTTACATTAGCCAGGCATGGCACATCTTTAAACCCAGCATTTGGGAGACAGAGGCAGGTGGAGCTCCATGAGATTGAGCCAGCTTGGTTTACACATAGAAAATTACAGGCCAGCTGGGACTACAGGGAGACCCTGTCTCAAAACCAAAACAAACCAAAACAAAACAAAAAATCCAAAAATAAAAACAAATTAATTAAAAAAAAAAATCAATGGAGCCGGGCATGGTAGCGCACGCCTTTAATCTCAGCACTTGGGAGGCAAAGGCAGGCAGATCTCTGTGAGTTCAAAGCCAGCCTGGTCTACATAGTGAGTTCCAGGACAGCTGGAGCTACAGGGAGACCCTGTCTCAAAAAGACCAAAAAAAAAAAAATCAATGGAAAAGCCAAGCATGATGGTGCATGCCTTTAATCCCAGCACTCAGAGGCAGAGGCAGGCGGATCTCTGTGAGTTCAAGGCCAGCCTAGTCTACATAGTGAGTTCCAGGCCAGGTAGGGCTACAGAGACAGCCTGTCTCAAAAAGACAAAAAACCATAAATAAATAAAAAAATTAAAAAATCAATGGAAAAACTACAGCTAATAAATCAGTAACTTTTATAGAAAAAAAAATCAGTCAGAAGATCTACTAAAAGTCCTTGCAAGCTAACTTTAAAGATGAATAAATATGTATTTAACTCATATTTTTATTTGGATCACCTAATATAAACTTGCCATTTAAAAGATGGAATCCCATATTCATAGAAACACAAGTAGCTCTCCCACCACAGCTGGCAGAGGCTAAGGAGACTAAGTATTATTGGGCAAACTTCATTTCAAACTTGAGCTGATGTCTTTAAGTGGCTTAATCACTGCTTCATTGTTATATTTGGAGTAGCAATGACAGAAGAAACTTTATTTTTTACTTCCTTCTCATTTTAAGACTATAAATAACGCAGTTGGGTAGTTCAGTTTAGATGAAACTGTTCCTCATAAATCATGTATTTAAATTACAGATTTAAATATACAGGCCAAAGGAATAGCCTTACCTGTTGCCTATACAATGAGAGCTTGCCTTCAATTGGCTCATTTCGCATCATTTTCTTTTCAATCAACTGATTGATCTCTGTGTTTACTTCACTGACCTAAAACAGTATGAAAGTAAAACATGTTAAAACTCTTATGAGCCAGAAGTGGCAGTACACACATATAACCCCAGAACTAGGGAGGCTGAGGCAGGATAGTGAGTTCAAGACCAGCTTGGGTTACATACATAATGAGATCCTGTCTCAAAAAAACCAACCAACCAATGGACCAAAAAAAAAAATCTCATCTTTATGATCACATGAACTAAGTGAACTAGTGACATCAGGCCAAACTCATCTTTAAATTGACAGTTTTTATCATCAGTAATGTGATGGGAAGAATAGTTCCAATTAATGTTATGAATGGATTATGATTTCTTTAGAAACAACCTAAATGATATCTATACAGTTTGATTATTTATAAATTTAATCATGCATCTCTAAATTATCCTGAGGTATTTTATATGAAATATTCATACATTATTATTAAAAAGATGCTTTCTAAATCTGAAGTTATACCCACTCATCTAGGCTCTTAAGTCACTGTAGTTATAAAGTAAATCCAGAGATTCCTTAGGCACAGAGTACAGAGAATTCATGAGCCTAGAGGAGAGCTGACATGGAACATCTAAAGCTTTTCTTATAGTAATGATCTGGATTCTTGAAGGCTATCATTTAGCCTAGTCATTAAGCCTTTCCAAAGTATAAAGCTGAATAAAGAAAATATAAATAGGGGCTAGAGAGATGGCTCAGCAGTTAAGAACACTGGCTGTTCTTGCAGAAGACCTGGCTTCGAATCCCAGCACCCACATGGCAGTTAAGAACTGTCTGTAACTCCAGTTCCAGGGGATCCGACAGCCTCTCCTGTCCTCCGCAGGCATTACATGACACAGGTGCACTTACCTACATTCAGGTAATACACGCACACACATAAAATAAAAATAAAATATTAAAACATACACACACACACATAATATTAAAATTTCTAAGGTCATAGTTTAGTCAACTAGTTTAAGTAGTGAATTAAGAGAGTAATAAATTGTAGTGGCTACTAAATATATTAAGAAATTAGCAAGTCAAAACATTTCAACCAATTTTCATGGTGACTTAAAAGATATACAAATAATTAGTATTAGTAATGTTGTAATATGATACCAGATTTCAGTAAGCATTAAAACAATGTTTTGTCACATAAAAGCCTTAAATATAAAAGTGCTATGTTATACTTAGAAACAAAAACTGATATTTAAAAAAATTTAAATTTTCCATCAGAATTTGTGAAATTGTGAAGACATAAGCCCAAAAGCTAATTCATATACATTAATTTAAATATTCAAGTTTCTTAGTTTTTATAGCAATCTGTAGACTAAACAGTTCACCGGTCTAAATTTTCACGACAACCCACAAGAGGGGCTTTCATTTCAGCAGGTTAACTCTGGAATCACAAGTGGGACACTATAGAATATAGCTTATGCTTTTCACAAGACTGGTGATCAGATAAAACTGGAGCTACAAGAAGAGGATCATCACTTACTTTAGATTCAAGTTTAAGAAGATCAGAATGGCCCATAGCTGGCTCTGAAACTACTTTTTGTAAAAAGTGCAATTCCTTTTTCTTGTTTTCTAATTCTTTAGGAAATTTTTCAGTTACCATATATGAATTAAATTTTATCTCTTCCTCTAGCCTCTTCATTAAACCTAAAAAAAAAATAATAACATGGAGAGGAGGGAGTATGTGTTAGAAGCTTCCTGTACACTCTATCTACAGAGAAGACTGGTCACTGAAACCTGATGGTAATTAGGATGAGTATTAAGCACAATTTGCATAGGATACTTAAATAATTATAGCAAAGTGATATTATAATCTTTCTAGCTTTACAACCTAATTCTTTAATATTTCAAAATATGTAACAGTTATAGAACCAGATACATCGTTGTATCTTATTTTGCACACACACACACACACACACACACACACACACACACACACACCCTTTTATTTTTTTTGTCTTTTTGAGACATGGACTCCCTGTAGCTCCAACTGGCCTGGAACTCACTATGTGGACCAGGCTGGTCTTGAACTCACAGGGATCCACCTGCTTCTGCCTCCCAAGTGCTGGGATTAAAGGCATGCACTACCATGCCTGACACCTTATTTTGCCTTCTAAGTATTCAAGAAATCAATGAACCAAATGAAAATACAAATGAAATCTAATCCACAAGCTCTCATACACAGCAGCCATTTTATTCTTTTACAATATTCTGATGCAATTTATACTCCTAATACTTCATAAACAGCAACACATTACAATGTGCTTGCTTCAAACCAATGAAGACAGTTCTAACAATACAAGTTAAAATCTGGAAAAGAGAAAAAAAAAGCCTACCTTCCACAAATGTTTGATATTTAGTTGTTTTTATTTTTTAAAGTATTACTTTATAGTTAATTGACAACTTAAATAAAATTTTTAAAAAATTATTTAATA